ATGTTGTGCGTGGAGCATGTGTCAGAACCTTCGACCTTCTCCCGGTCTCTGGGTCCGCAAAGCCAACCTGTGTGACTAGCTTTGGAGAAAAAAATTGTAATTCATAAAAATCTGAAACCTGACGAACACCTACCGAAGAGCCAAACCTCTAAATCTGGTTAAAACACCTGCAGGTCGTCTCTGCGTAACTGCACCCCCAGCACAGGCCGCTGCAGGTCCACTGAGCATGCGCGAGGTGGCACGCGTCCGGGTCTGTCCGGGAGGAGGCGAGGCCGCTGCCCTCCACTGGGCATGCGCGAGGCGGCTGCTGCAGCTCCACTGAGCATGCGCTCGGCGGCACGCGTCCGCGTCTATCCCTAGGAGGCGCGCAGGGGCTTTTGCAAATTGGCGGGTGCGGGAAGTTGCAGCATTTTTCACAGCGCATAAGACAGTATGTGTCGGTCACCGGCGCCCTCCGCTGGTCTCCGCGGAAGCCTGCTTCACAGCCTGAGGCCGGCAACGGCAGTTTGTTCCCTGGGGCAGAAGTGACAGTCAGCTCCGCGTTCCGTCGGGGCGCTGGGCGGCATGATCCCGTTTGCGGAGTGTGAGTGAAGCAAGGCGCCCGCGCTGCGCGCGCACACGCCGACCGGTCCAGCCGCTCCCTCGCCGCGCGGAGCGAGCCTCGCGGAGCTGGGCGGCTGCTGCCCCTTCCCGGAGCGGGCCCTTCCCCCCGGGCCGGCGCCCGCTTCCCCGCGCGCCCCTCTGACCTGCGTGTCTGTAGTCTGAGTTCGAAGTCCGCCTCGGACAGAGCGGCTTTCCGAGCTGGAGACGTGCTGTGCGGCGTCTGGGTTGGGGCGCCGCCCCGGAGCACGCAGAGCAGGACCCCGGGGGCTTTTCTCGGGCTCCCGGACAGGCCTGTGCCCTGCTCCCGTGTTCCGCCCCTCCGAAGCCCGTGCTGGGGCCTCGGTGAGCAGGGTTGTGTCCTTAGGGACGGGCTGCACGCAGCCCGTGGTGTATTTCTACAGCACCCTGCGTGCACTAGGGCAGGGCCCATCCAAAAGACACGGTGCCCAGCCAGAACCCCGGAGTGCCCCAGCGCACGGTCCTTGTCACGTGTGACTTAAAGGACGCCCACTGACCCTCCACTTTAAATGATCGCCCCCTTTCAGGTGCTGTGATGCCTAGAAGCCGTTAGGCTCAGAAATTTTCCCTTGGAGTAGGCGTGTTAATATCAGCCACTGCATTTATTAGGCACCTACTGAGTACCCAGCCCTGCCTCACACGCTTGACCCCTGCTCTGCAATCGCAGTGCCGCAGGGGACGAGGTGCTCACTCCTGTTTCCACATGAGGACGCGGACTCTGACACGTTACTTGGTGCGGTAAAGGCCTTTGCCTTACTAACGGGCAGAGCCGGGGCTGGAGCATGGTGTGGTGTGCCCTTGAGCCGGTACAGCTTTCGCCAGAGATGTCAAAGGAGGCTGGCACAGTCCTCTGGGTGACCGAGTTCGGCGTTGTGCCTTAGTCACTGAGACCCTCTCGCCATTGTCTCACCTTTGCCTCCATCCCGGGCATCCTCCGCCTGAGCGCCTCCCTTCTCTTTGTTCTTCACAGCCCGCACGCCTGGGGCTCGGGCCTGAGGTCTGCGGACAGACTGCAGCAGTCGGCGCCCCGCTCTGGCAGGGCAGCAGCAGACGCCCCGAGGCAGAGGGCACAGCCGAGGCGAGGAAGTTCTCCCTCACCTGGCACACAGCGGGGACCGTGCCCTCCGGGTTCCTCGTTCCCTCCGTTCGAAGCAGATTCTGTCCCATTATATGAAGTGGGAAAAGAGGCCGGCAGGGAGACGTAGGTAAAGCCCACCATTTAATGATCAGGGTTATGTTTTATTGTCAGTAAATCTTTGTAATCATAGCAGTAATAAAAGAAGTTTGTACCAAAAATGAGTGAGAATGAATCCAAGAACAGAAGGGACCTGGCCAGAACATGTGGCTTTCAATTTGCCTTCAGCAGAACTACAAACAGAATGTTCTAGAAAGACATCTTTTCAGTAATTCCATGTGAGGTGACTTCCGAATTCAGCAGTCCCCATAGCACCAGGATACACGGGCGATAGGAGGCAGGGGCCGCATCTGTGCATGTTTTAGTTCTGATTGTGCTGGGCACAGTTCCCAATCCTAGACGGGCTTCTGGTGAGTATGGTCTGATCTTCGCACAGTCTGTCTTGTTCTCTCATTTTGAGCACTGCTGAGTGTTTGGATGTCTAGCAGTCTTCTCTGGTTGCAGATTGATGGACTGTCAGTTAAAATCCTTCCCGTTCTAGCTCAAGTTTATTCCTTTTCTTTTGCTTTTGGAGATTTCACATTAGAATCTTTGGTATTGAAGAGATTGCTGAATTTTGGCTCCTGCCCTTGAGCTAAGGGTCTTCTCTATTCATGCATCCTGGGGCTTAGAATTCCACTTTAGTTCAGAGATTTATAAGCTTTTCTCTTTTTAACAAGTTTTCAGAGTTGCTGTAGAATGAAGTATTTACATAAATCCGTAGGAGTCCTGTGTGCCCTCACTCCAGCTGCCTTAACAGACACCACACTTTGGGTGGGTGGCGTTCATTCCTCAGAGCTCTGCGGACTCAAAGTTCAAGGTCCAGGTGCCTGTGTGGCACTGGTGGTACAGTGGTGAGATCAAGGTGCCCACTGGCTCAGCTGCTGGTGAGGACCCTCTTCCTGGTTTACAGACAGCTACCTTCTCACTGGCCTCACGTGGTGGAGAATGAGCTCTCTGTGTAAGTGTCTCTAGTAAAGATACCACTCCCGTCACAGTGGGCCTCGCTGTCATGACCTCCTTGAACTTTCGTTACCTCCTTCTAGGGTTGCTCTCCAAGTACGATCACACTGGGGACTTGGGCTTCAGCAGATGAACTTGGCCAGGGCACTGCTTTATCCACACACCACACTTGACATATAGTAGGTCCTCTGTATAAATGCTGTTGAAAGAACGAAGCAGATGATGTGATGCTACATTTGGATTCCTCTCCATGGACACCAGCCTCCCCTCCTTCCTAAACACAAGCTCACACCAGGTCCTTTGAGCCGGGCTCCTGCCAGCTAACCATTGCAGTCATGTCGCTGGTGTATGTCTTGCTCTGTGACTTTTTCCTAGCATTTCTGTTGTGCTTGTGAGTGTGCCCTGGAGAGAGTAGTTAGCTGTCTTCACTGTGGCCCTGGAAGACATTACTTCACGCCTGTGCTCCTGATGAGGAAGTGGGGGTGCGAAGCGCCTTGCCCAGGGGTCCTCGGAGCACCCCCGCTCAGCAGGCCTGGGGCAAGGCTGCCTGGGGTGAGGCCCCAGCCCTGAGCCTTGCCGTGTGCTCCAGCCTGGGGCAGCTTAGATCCAAAGGACTCCCACTGAAAATGTCTTGGGACATTTGCAGACCTCTGCAGCTATCATATCTGAGCCTGACAAGTGCTTTAAAATGTGTAGTGGGACCTGAGAAAAGGTAACAGGGGGAGAGGGTCTCAGGGCAAACAGACAAGAAAGGAAAGAAGGATCTGAGGAAGACATCTATGAGAAGGCACCTGGGAAGGGGGATGTGCCTGCTGTCTTAGTTACTTTTCTCTCCTTGCTGAGACAAAATACCCAACACCCAAAGTGAGAGAGGGAAAGGTTTACTTGGCTCACAGTTTGTGGAGGTTTCAGCCCATCATCAGCTGGCTCCAAGGCAGCCATTCATGGCAGCAGAAGACAGCAAAATCTACAAGAACAAAGGAAGAGAGAGAGCAAGCCTCTTTCCCGCCCTTTTACTGTATGCAGGCTTCCCACTCCAGAGTGAGCGTACCACTCACATCCACAATCCCAGCATTGGGCCATGAATCAATCACAAATTCTAGAAGCCTGCCCCATGACTGCATGAGGCTTCAGGGGGACATCTAGACAGAAACCGTAACATTCTGCTCCTAGCCCCTCAAAGACTTATGCACATCCTACTATGCAAAACAGTCTAGTCCTTCTCTAAGAGTTGCCAAAGTCCTAACAGTTTCAGCACTGCTGTAAAGTCCAAGTCCCAAGTCTCCTCTGACATCTAAGGCAAACTCTTAGCTGTGAGTCCCTGTGCAAATGAAAAGTTAAACACTTCCAACATTCAATGGCATAATGTAAACATTACCATTCCAGAAAGTACAAATGGGGGTACAAAGGATTGAGACAAAAGTAAGTCCAAAATCCAGGAGGACAGATAGTAAATCCTGCAGTTTTATGTGCAGCATCCGGAGCAATCTGTAGCAAATTGTAGGCCTCAAGGGATTTGTGTGACTCTGCCCCTATGGCACCTGCAGTGGTTGTAGCTCCCATAGCTTCTCTCTTGGCTGTCAAGTGCCTTGATCACTGAGCACTCTGAATCCAATTCTGAGGGACAAATTCTCTTTGCCTCCACCATTCTGGCACATGGTGTTCTGTGGCTTTCTTTTCAAAGCAAAGTCTTTCAGTTTTGCAGTTTTGAGAATGCAAAGGGTGGAGACTTGCTGCTTTTCATGATGCCCTCAGGCCATCTTTTCTATTCTCCTGTTCCTCCTCAGCAGTGAAGATCTCCTCAACTCTGTCTTTGCAGTCTGCAGCTTTACTGGAGCTTCCATTCTGGCCAAACTCTCACATTTTAAATCATCCTGATGGGCTCTTTACTCTTGATTCACAACATCGATGTGGCTAAAGCCCCCAAAATAGCCCTGCCACTGCGTCGACGTTTGACTGCCTTAAAATATGCCAGATTAATTAGTCCATAATCTCAGTCTCCAGCAAAGTCTCTGGACATGAGCAAAATGCAGACAAACTTTTTGCAATGCCATAACACACATCATCTGGAGCCCAACAATCAATGCAGAAACCTCCCAAGCCAGGTCTTTACCAGCAGGATTTCTGTCAGCCTTCTGGCCTTCTGAGCTCAGACCAGAATCTCCCATATAGAACAGCCAAAGGCATCTCAGTGCTGCTCTTTCAGGTGACATTTTGAAATTTTTCTAAACTATTCCTACAAGCCATTCCCAAAAGCTACTGAACCACATGGTCAGGTATAGTCACAGCAATGGCCTCATTTCTCTGGTACCAAATTCTTAGTTACTTTTCTCTCCTTTCTGAGACAAAATACCCAACACCTGAAATTAAAGAGAAAAGTTTATTTAGTTCACAGTTTGTGGAGGTTTAGTCCTTAATCAGCTGGCTCCAAGGCAGGGTGGTGTGGCAGAGGGCAACAGTTCATGGTAGCAGAAGACAGCAAAAGCAGCAAGAGCAAAAGGGAGGAGCAGAGGAGAGCAAGCCACTTTCCCTCCCTTACACTGTATGCAGGCTCCCCACCGCAGAGCACATGTGGCACTCACACCCATAATCCCAGCACTGGACCATGAATCAATCACCAACTAGAAGCTACCCCATGACTGCAGGAGGCTGGGGGGACATCCAGACACAAACCATAACACCAGCAAACAAATTATCATCCCAACCACAAGTCTCACTGAATGCATATGAAAAATTCCCATCTGCTAAGCCAGCTAGAAAAATTACTGCACTTTGGATTTTATTATTTTCTCCTTGCAACTCTTACCCCATGCTTAACTACTCTTTGAAGTCATCTGAGGTCTTGGTCATTCCAAGTGATAAAGGAACCCACAGGCTTGAGTTGGGTGCTGCTTTTCTTTTTCGTGGTGCCTCCATTTTCCAGGTGTGGCCCTTCCTCAGGTGTGATCCGTATGAGCTCCTAAGCCACCTGTGTTGCTGGAGGAAAAAGAGCCCCTTGGAGGTGCAGTGGCATTGTTTCCACTTTGGCAGCAGGGACAGGTGGCTGTAGGGCAAAGATGGAGGGGTACTGTCCTGCTCCCTTTGCTACGACTCACTGGGTGTCTTCAGCAGAATCTTACTCAGTAGCTGGTAACAGTGGGATTAGATGTTCAGCTCCGCATTCCCCCGGGGACTTCAGGCATGCTTCGACCTGATGGCGTTGTTCCTGGCCAACTACAAACTGGTGTCAAGGTCCTGCTTCCTCTGAGAGAGTCACTGCATTCCCAACATAGAAGTTGAGATTCAGTCCTCACCCTCAGCTTTACAGAAGACAAAACAAAGCCCGCTATCACCCATCTCTGACTGCCAGTCCAGTGTGTGTGGGTTCCCTCTACACCCAGGATGGGGAGACGGCTGACCTCCAGCCAGGCCCCTGGCCTCTCCATTCAAAGCTTGATCCCTGGGTGATCTAATCTGGTTTCATGGCTTCAAAACAAAGTACCTAGGGCTGAGGATATAGCTCAGTGCCACAAGCACCAGCCTAGCAAGTGCAAGGTCCTGAGTTCGATTCCCAGTCCCCAAAAAAACCAAATTATCTATATCAGTGATTCTAAGCTTGGAGCAGTGCTGGTCCCAGGGACTTTTGGTAAAGCCTGGAGACATTTTTGATTGTCACAACTAATGTGCAGAGGTCAGGGATGTTGCTGAATACCCTACAACACCCAGAACAGCCCCACACAACAAAATTATCTGATCCAGAAGGTCAGTATTGCACATGATGGCGCACACCTGTAATTCCACCTCTTGGGAGGTTGAAGCAGGGTAATCATGGTGAATTTAAGGCCAGCCTGGACTACACAGTGATGTTCTGTCTCAAAAAAAAAGTCAGTATTACCAAGGTTGTCCTACAGGCTGATGACTCCCAAATTTATATATCAAGCCAACTATCAAGAAAACTTAATAGCTCAAGGCAATAAGAATTTGGTTAGTTCATGGATTTGCAGTTTGGACAGGCTCCGCAGGGAAGGCTTGTTTCAGCTCCAGTGTCTCTGGCCTCCCTGGAAGGATTTGAGGACTGAGGAGCACCAGCAAGGGGACTCATCTGGAGGTGCTCAGGTACATGCTTGGCTGTTGAACCATTCCTCAGCTGGGCCCTCATCAGGGTCACTCGGCCTGGCCTCTCAGTGTGGCCTGGGCTTTCTTACTACATGGTGCCATTTCCAAGACTGAGCATCCCGAGAGAGAAAGCCAGGTAGAAATTGTAGCCCCTGTGACCTAACCTCAAAGCAAGCACAGCATCCCTGTGCTATGCTCTTTTTGCCATCAACTCACCCATTTAATCTTAAATATTTGGTGGATTACTTACCCCATACAAGTAGTCTTCTAGTGCTGGGGAAGCAGAAATGAACAGAACACTAAAAAATAAAATTCCTGCCTTGTTGGAATTTACATGCTAGCAAAGGAGGTATACAACCAATAAATAAACATGTGAAATATATGGTATGCTGAATGGTGAAAAGTGCAAAGGATAAAAATATAGCCAGAAGAGGGGGAGAGGGTTGGGGTTTGCTTGACAGTTTCCATAGTTCAGTTATAAAGGACTTCACTGATAAGGTGACAGATGAGCAGAAACATGACAGAGATGCAGACGCCAGCCATGGGCACACTTCCCAGGCAGGGGGAACGGAAGGTAGTATGGGGATCCTGAGGGACAGCACGCTTCACGTGTTTGCGGAACAAGGATGCCACCAGAGCTGTAAGAGTAAGCACCGGGTGGAAGGAGGGGAAGGTCCATCTGCACCTTGCCAGCCTACACCCAGGGACTAGAAGTTTGAGTCTGACAAGCCAGATTCGTAGAACTACAGCGTGAGGTAAGCAGTTGGTGTCAGGCTGTAGAACCCAGGACCCGTGGAGAGTGAGGACATGGCTCTCCCTCCCTGCAGGCCTGACCTCCTTGGGGCGGCTGTGTGGGAGGGTAGAGGCTTACTCTCCTGGTGAAATCTTACCTACTTGGAAGTTGAGGTCATGCTAGGCTCTGCATCTGATCCCTGGAAGACAGTTTCTTATTTCCCTGCAAGACTGCAGCCTGCTCTTTCCGGTCAGGCGGAGGTGAAGTTGCTGTGGATATCTCCTTATGGAAAGTGGCCCTGCATTGCTTTGTGGGAGGTGGGGACAGCACTCTGCAGCGGCCTTCTATCCGATGGGCTGCTGTCCTGGGCTTGGCCATGGAAAGAGGCGGAGATGGGCTCTCCTGTGTCAGCGGAGACGAGGGATCAGATCCGTGGAGGAGCAGGAGATATTTTCTTCACTCTTGGAAAGATCTGATCTCACCCTGGCAGGAGCCGGGGTGTTGACACCATCAGGGGTGATGGATGACATGTCATTTGAGATGCAGATAACTGGGCCTAAGTGTAGCCAACCAGGAGAGCGAGCATCTCCGCGGAGGGAACAGGGGTGGAAGGGCTGGGTGGCTTCGAGTGTCTTAATGACCTTGCGTGCTTCCTCCCTCAGGTTGCCCTGGAGATGCTTTTCACTGGAGAGCCCATTTCGGCCCAGGAGGCCGTGCTCCATGGGCTGCTCAGCAAAGTAGTGCCAGAGGAGCAGCTGGAAGAGGAGACCATGAAAATAGCAAAGAAGATCGCCTCCGTAAGCCGCCCCGTGCTTTCTCTGGGCAAGGCCGCCTTCTACAAGCAGATGTCCCAGGACCTTAGAGCAGCCTACAGCCTCACCTCCCAGGTCATGGTGGACAACCTGGCACTGCAGGACGGGCAGGAGGGAATCAAGGCCTTCATACAGAAGAGAAAACCCACCTGGTCACAGTAGCAGCAGTCACAGAGGAAGGGAGGAGGACTGTGCCGGTAGGGGAGGGAGAGACACTCAGAAAGCACCCTCAGGCCTCACCGCTGACCGCACCGCACCACTGCTGCCCCCAGATTGTAAAGAGACAGCGTGTTTTCAGAAGTCACATCGTGGGCTGCATTAATGCGTGATTCCGGGGGAAGGACGAGGACAGTGAAGCGCTAATTCAGCGGCGGCTCTGGGAGCACCCGTGATGGGCCAGCTGTGGCAGAAAGCCAGGCATCTGACTTACTCCACAGCACCTCAAGTGAGGGGCCCCTGTGTAGAAGGAGGTGATCAGGTGAGGTACGAGGAAAAGGCCTCAGCCTGGCTCTTACCAGCAGTGTCCTCTAAGGCAGAGTCCGTTCTCATAGCTCATGACAGATGAAATATTTCAAATCTCTGGGAGATGTTCACACTGAAAATGTTGATTCTATCTGGAAATAATCATGCCTGTGGCTTTGGAATAATCTTACGTGATTTAAATAAATGAAATATGCATAGAGACTGGTCATTTTATCTTCCCAACCAGACTGCAAGCTAAGAAAAAAATCAATTAGCTCTGTATCTCCACTCTGAGTAGGTGCCTCATGTTCGCTAATGAATGTCCCTGCCCTCCAAGTTCCTGTGAAGCCAGGACCGTAGGCTGAACCCAAGGGTAAACAGTGAGAGGCGGGTGGGGGCAGAACACACTTCCTGCTCATCAAGGGTCACCTCCTCCAGGTGCGCTGCTGAACTATGCACCGCTTCTGGTTAAGACTCCCAACTAGCACCGGGCATTTGAATTCTCCAGTTGAACAAGAGTTTTGCTAGGTAATAAACATATGATTTTTGGCTTTGAGTCTAATAGAGCCCCAAAATATTCCAGATCTCTCGTCTTCAAACTTGCCTATAAAGCTTACTTCTTTCTTTCTCGATGGTGGTGGAGATCAAACCAAGAACCTCATACATGCCGGACAAGCACTTACTACTGAGCTGTGCCCCAGACCTAATCTTTTCTTAGTTACTTTTCTGTCATTGCTGGGACAAAATATCCAATATCCAAAATTGAGGAGAGAGGTTTATTTAGCTCATGGCTTGTGGAGGTTTCAGTCCATACTCAGCTGGCTCCAAGGCAGGGTGGCATGGCAGAGGGCAACATTTCATGGCAGTGGAAGACAGCAAACACAGCAAGAGCAAAAAGGGGGCCAACAAGCCTCTTTCCCTCCCTTATGTTGCACACAGGCTCTCACTCTGGGGTGTGTGTAGCACTCAGACCATGTCCCTGCCCTCCTCTTACACAGGCTCAGGATGTTTACACAGTGAGGACCCTGGCTCCCTGCTGAGTCTCTTAGCTAAGCTTCTAAACTTCTCAAATTGACACAGTGAACAACATCCTACAGTGTTCAGGTCAAGTCCTCTGCACACCAGGATGCAGTACTGCTGAGTTAGTTAAGCTTCTAGACTCCTCAGGTTGACAGGCTTTTAGTCTAATACAGCACCCACACACACACAAAATTCCAAATCTCTGGTCTTCAAACTTGCCTATAAAGTTTACTTTTTCTTTTTTGATGGTGTTGGAGATGAACCAAGAACCTCATGCATACCAGGCAAGCACTCTACCACTGAGCTGTGCCCCCAGATCTAATCTTTTTTTCTTTTTTTGCAGCACTGAAGACAGAACCCAGGGCCTTCACACTGAGCTACATCACCATATGTTTTTTAATTGTTTATTCTGAGTCAGGGTCTCACTAAGTTGCTGAATGTCCCAGGCTAGGTTCAAACTTGTGATTCTGCTGCCTCACCCTCCCACAGGGCTGGGATTATAGTGGTGCACCACCACTCTGCTTCTTCCAGAAAAAGAATTAATTCATTTTTCTAAGAGTAGAGTGAAGCCATAACTTTGACGAATGCCACTGCTGGAGATAAATAACCAGACAGATCTCACGTGTGGTTTCCACTCTGATTGCTGGAGTAAGGGCCCCATGGCATAGCTGTTTCCAGGTACTGTCACGGGTTCTGTTGAGATTGGCAACCGTTTTCTTCCCCAGATTTTAGAGAAGTAGAAAAGAATGCCATTTCTGGACTCCTGTGACGTGCCTGGTCCTTTGTACACGTTCATTTAGTCCTCAACACTGTGGAGTGAGTACTGTGATGACCTCCATCTCACAGAGAAGTATTTGAAACCCAGATTACACATTTTGTCTGACGTCAAACAGCTGGGACTGGAGTTGAAGATTCTAGATGCCTCTGTCTAACCTAATGGCTCCTAGACAGTTGTTCCCCTTGCCACACTGTCCCGTGGGAAGTGTTCTGTGCTATTGCACCAGAAACCAGAATTACTAACGTGTTCCCCTAATCCACACATTCTCTCAGCTGGGAAACTCGCACGCTTGAGGCTGAGCACAGTTCAGAACGCGTGTCTGGAGGAGGTGACTCCTAACGGGCAGAACGTGTGCTCCGTCTCCTTCCCACCACTCCCTGGGCTGCCAAAAAAATCCAGAAACACAATCTGCCACCTGCCCCCTAGTTGTCATAGAACTTTCGGTCTGGCAAAAATAAATTCTGGGTTTATTTATTTCTCTGCTTCTTTTCATCAGGATGTTGACTGAAGATTTTTTTGTGGTGTAGGGTGTTGAACCCAGAGCCCTGAGCATGCAAGGCAAGAGCTCTACCACTGAACCACCTGCCCACGCCCTGCGCAAAATTTCTTTTAAAATTACACATGATGATTGCTTTTGGAAAACCTCATGTATTCATCTTTCCCTCTGTACCATTTACTTGTGGGGAGCTGATCTGAGCCCTAGCCCAGCCACACCCCTGCAGGTTCAGGGGCTATAAAATAAGTGCAGTGGTATTCACTTCTGCCTGCCTGCCTCGCTGAGAGATCATCAAAGACTGACCTGGCCCCCGGAGAATATAAACAAATGGTGCTAATGCCAGAACATCAGCTTCCTGGCTGACTTTTCACCAGAAACTTTGGGGAAGCCTGAGACCATACCACATAGTGCTGTGCGGTGGGTGTCATCTCAGTGTTAGCATGAGGCTCAAAAAGCCTAGAGAAAAGCACTGACTGACTGCCCAGGACTAAGTGCTGGCCCCAGCTGCACAGATGCACACAAGTGAGGTAGCTTCTGTAGCACTGGGTTTCCCTTGCTGTAGAAGTTCCTCGGAGATAGGATAAAAGATACAGAGACGGGTAGAAAGAAGTCAAGGAAATTGTAATTTTAAAATTCTACTTCAGGACAGTCAAACTTACTCAAGCTTATAGTGCCTTTTTCCCTTCCAGGAAACTCCAAACAATCACAAAGAATCTTAAAGATACAATAAGCCTGTAAATTGAGCCTGCGCTTTCTCTCCTATCTGATAAATTCACAGACTCCACAGACTGCCACTGCCAAGGAGAATGCAGAGTTCAAACACATGCAGGTGATTTGCACTCTAACCTTGCACACTGACAGGTAACCTGACGGACACCATCCTCAAGAACACATAAATACCGCCAGCCCCAGACCATAATGGTTCTCAACTTACTATAAGCACCCACAGGCCTTCTGAATGTGTACTTGTTCGTACCTAATAAATCTCCTTGTGCCTCACACTGAGACATCCTGAAATTCTTTTTCTGTAATGGAAGTCAGTGAACCTGCTACCTACTCCGGGGTGGGGCAAACTGAGGTTTCCATCTTCTCTTTTCAAGAACATCCTCATCCCCGGCTGGGGATATAGCTCAGTGGCACAGCACCTGCCTGGCAACCTCAAGGTCCTGAGTTCAATTCATGGTCCAAAAACAAATAAAAAAAACTCAAGAACATCCTATCCCACCCAGTGACAGAAGCAACACAGCTTTTATGATGAAATCATGTGCAGTTGCAATTGGCTTGGAGAGAAATACGAAGATACTTCAGGGTAACCAGGACCCTTTTATAATCTTATCTCTTAGGCAAGTTGAATCACCCTCATGGGGTATGTGTGCCTTTGGAAGCACTACCCCTATCACATTAAACATCACAATACATCCATATACCACACTTAATTCCCATATTTAGGTCAAAAATGTAGTAATTTGACTTTGGTTATTTTTTGGCAATCAAGTATGCAAGAGTTGGATTGTTATATATGACATTGAAGTCATGTTGCATTCTGTAGATATTTAAGAAAATAGTAAATTTCAATCTTGCAAAGACTTTTCTTTCATATTTAGCGGTTCAAAATATATTTTCTTGGGGTCCCAGACAGAGTCCCTGATAAGCTATGTCACATCTGGCAGGCCATTTCTGTACTGTCTATAGTGTCTTCATGATGGAAATTCTCTAGCTGCTGAGTGCAGGGGAGGTGGCCATTCTCCAGGAAACAGGGAAACTGGGTTAGGTGAATTCAGTGTAGGTGAAACAAATGTAACTCCCAACCTACTTATGTCTGATACCCTGAGTTCATGTTCCTCAAAATCAAAGAATGAATTCTGAGGAGCAATGGAGGAAAATTTACTGGGCAATAGGAATGGCTCCTGAGAGACATGAGGGGTCCAAAGTGGGTTGCCACAGACCCCATTTTACAGAGTAAGTTTTATAGAGTAAAATCACAAGGTCAGTACAAAATAACAAGGTGGGCACAATATAGGATAAACCAATAAGATTACAAGGTCAGCCATTTAGGTAACATTGATCCAATGGGGAAGCAGGTCATGTAGCATGTGCATATGGAAAGAACAAGGACACCCCTGGGGCAACTGATGTTAATGTTAATTTATTGTTTATCTCTTGGGGAGGCAAATAGGCCTGGTCATTTTGTCTTTATCCTGAGGCCTGGACTCCAGTGGATGTACCACAGTCATTACGTGTTCTCATCTTTTGCACTGACTCCCTCAAGGGCCCAGTCCTGTCTGACTGCCTATAATGTTTGTACCTAACTTAGCCGTCTATAATATCCCACCCTCTGAAGAGGTACCCAGCTGCCATGAGAGGGCAATGGGTGACGACCATTCTGCCTACTTCTGGCTGAAGTGGGTGGTAGTGGTGATTGGCAGGCAGAGGTACTCTACAGAGGGTCTATCTAAAGGCCCTTGATGGACACCAGAAGTTCTTGTCTTGGGTAGGCATACAGCTTTAAGTCTGGAGGAGACAAGGCCAAACAAACGGTTAAATATGCCTGGACCAAATAATTACGAGATTATTATGCATATAACCAACAGATGTTTCCATCAGGAAGAGCCAGTAATAGCCTCCTACAAAGAGGGTAAGGAGAAGGTCCAGGGAATTTCAGAATCCCACATGGCATTAACCAGTTGTTTTATCTTGAACAGCCATCGAGATATTAGCAGAAGGATCAGGAATATACGACATTCAGCTTTTACAATTGCACAATTACCCCCTTGTGCTGCTGTTAGAATGTCTAATGCTGTCCTATTTTCGAGGAGAGTTCACCTCATTAATCTTGCTTCTTCATTTAGGAAAGAGAGACCAGTTGAGGTGCCATTTCAGGCCAACTGAGTATAGTTGTCCAAGGCCTTGATGTGTTGCATGACAT